AAACGTGAAGCTCCTACACACATACGCCACGATCCATCCTTCTTAGGGATCAACAATGCAGAAATGACACAAGGACTGAGAATCTCTCGTATGTAACCTTTCAATAGTAGTTCTTCGACCTGTCGGAGCAGCTCGTCGTGCTTTTGCGGGCTCATCTGAGAGTGTGGTCGATTAGGAAGCGGAGAATCAGGTGCCAAGTCTATACAATGTTGTATATCGCACAACGGTGGTAAACTTGGCGGTAGGTCATCCGGAAATATGGCACGCAAGAGGTGAGAACGCTGGTGGGACTGGAAACGTTATTGATGATTCCGGTGGTGATGCCATTAGAACAAAAACCACATCTGAAACGCGAAGCTCCTCGAAAAATGCAGACTTAGATAAGAGTAACACTGGTCGGTGTGTAGTGAGTGCCTTTGCTGGCGCATGAATTAAAACACGTGACTCGTTTTTGGTAAATAAATCAAAACAACCATTTTATTTATTTTATATGGTATATAATTAAACGTTATTGATATTGACATAAATATATATATAGTGTATTTTAATATATATTTATTATTTACACTTCTTACTCATATGATTATAATAACATTTATATATTTTGCTCTACCAATTTTTTTAAAAAAAATCACAAAAACTATTGTGAGTTCTTATACGAATTTTAAAATTAAAATTTTAAGATCTCAATAAATTTTTAAATTAACATATTTATATATTTTATCTAGTATATAATTTGGTATAAATGATATATATATATATATATATTATGAATATCTATTAATGAGATTTCAGATTAATACGATTTTATAATCATTTGTATCTTGCTTGAACATAAAAAGTTAAACCATTGATGAAAATAAATTAATGTGGGACTTTTACCATTTTTAGTAATTTATAGCCATTTAAAAGATTCTAAATACAACATATAAGACAAAGTATAAATTTTTTATTATATGCTTAATGTGATTGTTTAATTATTTTTAATAATATAAAATTAAACAAAAAAAAGAAGAAGAAAAAGACACAAAAATTGTTATCAAATATGTGTAAATGCAAGAACTATGGCACATATGTAAAGCACGAAGTACACCAGAAAATATCTCTACAAAGATATGTGTATTTGCTAGTATTCTTTTAATGTGAACTTACAAGTCTCTCTTTAAACCAAATCTCAAGCCTCACACATTTTAGGATCGAATACAAGATCTATAGAACCTCTAGCCCTTAGTGCTTTCTCTCTCTTACAAGATTATGAAACCCACTCCCATGTTAAGAATACAATTATGGCGACAACCCTAATACCTAAGTCATACAAGACTATATATAAATTATAGTCAAGTCGGGTACCCTATTCTATCTACCCAATATTTACTAAATATCCAAATAAGGTAAGTTCCCTAAAACTTATACTAAGGCTTTTGTGAACTTCTCATTTACGAGATCTCCATTCTCCAAGGTGAATCTCTCCATGCTTTCTCTTCAAGTCTTCGTTGCATTAACTCCAACTTGATTGCCAAGCCATTCTTCAAGTCTTTATCTTGTTGCACTTGCGTCTATATCAGAATGTCCACCTGATCTTTGCACCTTCGATATGTATTATTCATAATCATTAATTGTCATATATATGTTAATCATATTAGGTGATTATGTAGCTTTTATTTATGGAAAAAGAATATTATTATATATACTAATTAATTTGATAGTTAGTTAAGTAAAAATTATAATATACAATTATATGGACCAACTTATTTTTCTAAGGATTCTGAGAATTTTCCTGGTGATGACACGTGGCTACGAAAACATGTTGTAATGCTTTAGAAGTATGAGAAGTTATACAAACCAGGAAAGTCGGTGTTAGTGTTAGCAATAGCTATAAGTTTTTCATATTTTGGAACATAAAAGGCTTTGTTGGGATGATTGCCACAGTCACTGTCAGCTCAACAAAGTTGGTGTGTTTGGTAAACCGAATAACAACTGGTGTGTCTGTCACTTTGAAGTAGCCATTGCTTCTTGTTACATCTAAAACACTCAGTAGATAAACCCATCCTTCCTTGAAGAGGTGCTTGAAATAGTTTAGACTATGGGTGGTGATTGAACCTTAGATTAGGGTTGACTGCATAGGAAAGCCTGAGATTTGAAATCGGTAAATTCATCGATGTAGGAGAAACAACATTGTAATATAAAAGGGAAGCTTGATTAGTCAAACCTTCTCATCGACCAACACCATATGCACACCCATGAGCTCCCCCCTCTATTCACATTTTGGGCTTCCCAAAAATGAAGAAGACATTTGAGAACAATATTCTTACCACGGCCAACCTTCAAATCAGAAATATAGATTTGGGTAATTGCCATTCTTCAAAGTCTTAGTTTTAGAGTTTTATACAAAAAGAGGTTTATGGAGTTTTTGATATTCATCTCCAGCTTCTGGACTGTATATGTAGTGATTCCGAGTGATAAAGGAAGTGAACAATCTGAACTTAAGAGTACGTGGTGGGATGAATTGATTGAAATCCATTATGTTGATGAGTAACTCTGTCGCCTAAATTTCAAGAAAGATAAACTGATGGCGGATACACTTCTTTGTTTAGAGAAGTGTAAGAAAGGAAACTGTGTTGGAAACTCTGATCATTAAGTGGGCTAAGGGCCATTAAACTGCAGTGGAGTTGTGGACAATGGCTTATCTGCTCCAGCAGCATAAGTGGGAGATGTGAATACTTATCAAAGATAACATCTTGATGACTTGCGCCATCTTATGGATATTGGCTTCCAGAGGATGAGCAAAACAAATATGCAATATTGATTGGGTCGAGTCTGATTTAGTCGAGAAATGATAGAAGACCCATAAATAAATATCTTCTTATTATCCACCCTTATAATCGGGTTAGTAAAGGTAAGAGAAGATTTTATTTTCCTAGAAACGAAACACTTAATGTGAATAACAAAATCAGATCCAGATTTTTCGACAGTGAAACCCTAATGAGTTAGTACAACCAAATTAAACGTTGAAATCCTTAGAAGTAGATTGAGACTGTGTCATGACCGAGTCCAAAATATCCACAAACGGTGAAGTATTAGGTGGAACCTTTGAGTGAAATTTGGAATGTTTAGAAGCAGTAAGAGGGGTTGAAAAGCAACTAGAGAGAGTATATGTTCCAGCCGACCAAGAGGAATGACGGAGGACAGCCACGAGAAGTGGCAGAAGGTGCATTTGAAGAATCACTATTTAGGAATCATTTTGTAAGCCCCCAACCACCCATCAGCTATTGAACCGCCCACTCCCGCTCACTCGAACCGTGGACCCTTCCGTGCGACATACGCTATTACTGGTTCATGAGTTAAGAATCATTTTGTTCATATTGGGTTGTTCATGAGTTATTGATAGTTTTAATGGTTTTTATTAAGTTTAATAGCTTTGAGATCCAATCTGATAACTTCATCGGTTCATGGTTGAACCAGTTATTAAATCCAACCAGGCTATGTTACCGGTTCATGGTCGAATCTGGTCCATTCACCTGGTCGATCCAGTTTTATAAAACATTGATAGTATTACCTATTACTACATGGTTGATCTCAACATAAATAGTTATTGTAATTTTTAAATTTTATTTGTATATATTTGATTTGGATCTATCGCAATTTATTTTATATGTATTGAAAATTAATGGGTTAATTTAATACATATTTATGCTGATTATTATTTTGAAAAACCAAAATTTATAGATTACAATGTATGATGCTTGAGAAGAAAAGAAACTCTGAATTAAATATAAACATAAAACTCTACATTAGTTTTTATTACTTAGAAGTTTTAATCAGATAAAAATTATTTTTTTTTTCAAATAATGATATATATATATATATATTTATATTCTGCAAATACTCAAACCGAATATGATTACGTTTGTGATTTTCATTGATATTTTTGCTTCATCCTTAATGGCAATTCCTATAAGTTTTTAAAATCTAATCTATTCGTCCTTTTTTTTTTGTGAATCCTATGTATAACCGATATCTCTTGATTGATAATCTTTGTTTGAAGGAGACATAGCTTTATCCTTTTGTTCTAGAATTAAGACTACAGATTTTTTTTCATGATAGATTTGCAAAACATTAATGATTTATTCATATATCTTCCAAAGTCATGATATTATAATGTTTCAGTATTTTGCTCTTTACAGCCAAAAAAGAAAAAAATATCTTTAAGAAATCTGTATAAAACATAATTAGAAAAATTATGTTTAAAAAAAATTATAGCTGTGAAAAGAATTCAAAACATTTGCCAATCAAATCTATTATGTATGACAGCCCATAAGATAATGATTTAGGAATCTAAGTTGAGTATAACTAAAAGTTTAATACAAGTAGATTGATAACGCATTCTTTCAGACATGTTGTAGAAAGATAATAAAATATACAAATTTATCACCAATTTTAACAATTGGTTTAATATCACAATAAGCTTTGGATTCGTTGAACTTTTAATTGTATGAAGTTAATATAAAAAGAGAGAGAGAGAGAGAAGCAACAAGAAGAGGCAAAAGAGGCAGCGTGCGTTTGGTTGGGACGTGAGAGAAAAGAAGAGACAAAAGACACCTCCTCGTGTTAATTTGCCCAACTTGCTTCTCTTCTTCTCTCCTCACCAAATCTAATACATATATACATTCACGTTACAAATACAAAGTCTCTCTCTCTCTCCAATAGATTTATTACTATATAGTTTTCGTGTTGGTACCTATCTTCTTTTGCAACATAGCTATTCAATTCTGTCTTTGGAAACTGCTCTTTTTCTTGACTTTTTCTCTTAAATCAATTTCCATTCTCCTTTTAAAAATATATTCAATTTCCTTTTGTTGTTAATTTGAATAATATAGTCTTTGGTTAAATGTGAATTTACCAATATTACTGTTGCTCTCTTCCTAATAATCTCCGGATTCTATTCCCATTTGGTTTATGTGTTGCTTCGCTTCCCTTTCCTCATTCCCATCATCATCTCCTCTTCTCTCTGCTAATAAAAGGTGGTTTGTTTTCCTCTTTTCTCCGCAATCGGTTTCCTCTTTCATTGTGTTTTGTGGAAGAATCTTTCTGATATTTACGCCGTAACGTTTCTTTCTCTTACCAAACCTTCTCAGATCGGTCTCTTTGTTTGCTTTTTCTTTTTTTTTTTGTTTTCTGGGTTGTGGGTTTCTTTGTGCTCGATCGTAACTGGTAAAATCGGTTTGGTGGGTTTGGCTCTGTTCATCATAAGAACTTGAGTTATTCAGGTTTTGTAAGAAAAAGTTAGTTTCTTTGCAATGAATTCGTAGGCTGGATCTCTGTCTTAGGAACCTGCTCAGTGTTTGGTTTGGCAATAAGGTTGTTTTTTTTGTGTAATATATTCATTTATTGTTTTTCGATTTGTTTTGTTGATTCTGGCTAACTAACATGCCTTTTGCTTACCTAATACATTCAAGCTATTGATTTTCTTTGAATTGATATTGTGATTTGAAGTGGAGATTATGCTGAAGTTTTTGATCTTTTCATTATTTTCTGTTTTTATAGAGGATGCTCTTGATTTTGAAGTGCAATTATCAAAAACTGATAATGCAGCTTTTGTATCTGATAACAATATAACTGGTTTTGTGGTCTTAAGATTATACATATCATCTTGAATTGCTTAGTTGCATCCTTCTTTGGTTGAATGAGAATCCCTTCTGTTATTTATTTGTTGATCAGCGTTGGCTTATAAGTAACTGTTTTCTTTTGAGTGCTTTACTGTGTTTTCTTTGATGATCGAGTTCTTCCAATGACATGTTGTTTTGTCTTTGTTACTAAACCATGTTCCCGTTGTTCTTTTTTTTTTTTTTGTAGGTTCCAGCAACGGCTACATTGCAAAAAGTGGCGAGGATGCAGGGAGAGAGGGCAAGTATCGGTTCTTTATCAGAGGTCATGAACTTTGAGCATGGTTCTACATCTAATAGCAATCCTTTGGTAGATCAGCAGATTCGTTGGGAGAATCTTCACAGTCATGGTGATAATGATCTGCAGAACTACATGAATTCAGCTCCTGCTGCTGATACAAACACTACTTTGTCAAACTCAGTGTATCATGAGCAACGTGACTTACACAGGTTTACCCTTGGTGAATCTAGCTCTAGTGGTACTAAGAACGAAACCCCAAGTAGTCACAGTGAGCAATGGATGCAAATTGAACGTTCTGAGGAAAGAAGAAACGACAAAATAGAGTTAAACCCTTTGTTTATGCAGCAACCGTCTAGTGGAAACAGAGTTGTTCGTAATGTCAATCTGAATGCAGAATATATTGAGCGTGCTGAGGATATGAATCAAGTCACAGGTCATCCTGGTCTTGTTCAGGTTAACAGACCAGAGAACAATGCTAGAGCTGGTTGTAAAAGAAAAGCTATTGATGCTGGCATTGGTCAGTCATCATCAACCGGAGCTTTTCATGAGTTCCACCGTGGAGAGAGCAGTTCTTGGGTCTCAGGTCCTTCGTTTTATAACCCAAATGACTTGAACATATCTCTTAACCATGCTCCAAGTCGGTTGGTTCCAAATCTGTCTCCTTCTCCTGCCATCTCTAGCAGAAACTTCTCTTTCGGGGCTGCTCAACAAGAGACAGTAAATCCATCTGTTTTCTCTGCGGGAAGTGTTATCAGACAACCAGTTGCTCCATCCATGAGCGCACCACCACCTCTAGATCAACAGCTGATGGACATGAGCTATAGACATGCTTTTAGCAATTTTACTCCTCTAAACTCAAATGCTTTTGCTGCTAGTATACCTCCTGTTTCAAGAAACATGGTGCCACCATTTCAATGGAGTGGGAACCCAGTAGCAGCCGTTCGATCATCTGCTCCCGCCGTTGACAGAAACGTCCTTCGTCCAGGTGAATCCAGGCTAAGAAGCAACATGCTAGCAAATCCTTTATTTGTTGCAGCTTCTGAACCGAGGAACCTGGCCCACGGTCATGTAAGTGGCGGTGGACAGGTTGCTGCATCGGCGAGTGTGCAGCCATCAGCGTCTGGTCCAACATGGACTCCTTACCAGAATCAATCGCCACCTAATCAAAGGAGATTATCTGAACATCGTCGTAGGTCGCTGATTTCTTCCTTTCTTACAAACCAGAGAGCTGCTGCTCGTTCCATGGTCTCTCCTCCCACTCCGGATCAGCATGTGCTTCAGCCTGGCGGTGATAACACCTTTCAGACACAGAATCAGGCTCACTCGAGAGCAGTACCAAGACAAGGACAAACTGCTGTTGGAGTTCCTCATTCTTTGCGTGGCTTGGCATCCGCAAGTCGAGGAAGAAGCAGACCTTCTGCATCTGAGGTTAGTTTTATATATAGAATTATAGATTAGTGTTACCTTGTTGGTTGGTTCATCTACACTGTAAAATGCTATAGTTTTGTTTATACCTGACGCTGTGATTTTAAATTTTTGAAACAGATCCGCAATGTCTTGGATCATATGCGTAGGACAGGGAACTTGCGTTTGGAGGTACCATTTTACACAAAACGATTTTATCTGAATTACATGCAAATAAACAAACTTAAAATATTTTAAACGTTTTTGTTGTGCCGATTTATTTCAGGATGTTATGCTTTTCAATCAGTCTATGATGCTGGGTGCAACTGATGTTCATGACCGGTATAGAGACATGCGCCTTGATGTTGACGACATGACATATGAGGTAAAGCAAGACTATAAAAACCCATTTTTATATATTCAATCATTCTAACAGAGGTCAGTGTATCAAATCTGCAGGAGTTGTTGTCTTTAGAAGAGCGGATTGGAGATGTTTGCACCGGTCTGAATGAAGAAACCATATCAAACCGACTGAAGCAAAGGAAATACACTAGTGGTAGCAAATCTACACAAGAAGTTGAGCCATGCTGTGTTTGTCAGGTAATCACAATCCTGTTCACCTTCACTTTTGCACAATGTTATGAATGTATATATTGACTTGGTGCAAATACTGCAGGAGGAATACAATGAAGGAGAAGAAATGGGGGTGCTGGAATGTGGGCATGACTTCCACAGCCAATGCATCAAAGAATGGCTGAAGAGGAAGAATCTTTGCCCGATCTGCAAAACAACAGGGTTAAACACTGCAGAGAAGCCAATAAGATAATGATGGTAAAACCTTAAGCTGTTCTTGAGTTTTTACCTTTCGTCGAGTCTTCTATACCATTGTAACCTCATAAAAACACCAAAAGGGCAGCTTTGGTGTTTGAGGTTTGATGATTTGGAGATGGTGAAAAGAAGGGAAGCAACTTAGGGAGATGGGAAAGTCGAGGAGAATCAAAGAAAAAAGAAACTTGGGTTCTTCTGAATTTGTTTGGATAATTTAATTTTTACCAATTAGTTTTTTTCGTATGATTCCAAAAGACCAAAAAGTTTGTTAGTCAGTTTGATAGATTTTATTAATGATTGATTATGTAATATACATGTCTTATATAATCGTAAGTGGATCTATCAGCATAGCAAAAGCTATGCAAATTATTTGATTCAATGAGGTAGCATGATCTCACCTCCTAGTATCATTTGATTTATACGGCTTTGTTCATGGTTAAGATTCCCACCACTCTGGTCAAAGTCAAGGTCAACATCGTTGGCTAAACTTCCGTTGAGTATTCTCTTCGTGGTTTTTAGATGCATTTTCCGATAAACACTTTTTTCCGACCGGTGATGGTTTAAGATGTCAATCAAATTGAGAATATAAGTCGGTTTTGTTCAACCAGGTCAATGTCAAGAGTTTTGATTTACACATGTATTTAAACTGATGTGAACATTTACAATAGAAATTCCATAAATCAATACTCAATAAATTAATAAATTAATAAACATGATAAATTAATAAATGTTACTATTTCCAAATTGGAATAGTGTAAAATTTGATACAATTCGATAAATTAATAAGATAATAATTTTTGAGAAATTTTATATCAATATATGGTCTCAGTATAAACATAAGCTAACAAATTAATACATATATATATATATATATTACATAAATATAAAAAATATATATTGTATAGTTTGTTTTTATTGACAATGAATATTACCTTTAACATCTATATTTTTTCTAAATATATTGATGTTATTATGTTATTTTAGACGCAAATGCATTTAATCTTTTTATTTTGTTTTGTATCTATGAAAATTCATCAATACACATATAATAAAATAAAGAATTTTCTTATTTTTACATAAAACATTAAATTATATAATTCTAGAAAAGGAAATTTTCAATACATTAAATTTTCTATAAATCAATAAAATATCAAAGTTTCAATATTATTATTTATAGAGTTTTTATTGTATGCAGAATTTAAAAAATTTGTAATTTTTTTTTATTTTTAAAGACAGTGAGAAAAGAAAATCTGACGGGCAAACATTTTTTCTCTTTCGAAAGGTGCTTTTGAGTCACTAATCAGAGTGGAGATAACTTATTTACAAATAATATCTTTTTAAAAAAGAAATTCTAAAAAATTTTAACTTTTTTTTTGAAATTATCCAAGATCTTCGGAAGCTACATCGTTTTCCTCCTCCACTACATCAGGTTGTCACATGAAAAACTGAGATGTTTTATGCTAGAAGAATAAAAAACAAAGGCAAAAGAGTAGAAAACTGTTTGGAAATCCAAAAAGCTTGTTGGGAATCTGAAATCTCTTATTCCACTTCTTCAAGATTTGTTTGTTCCCTATAAGTTTACAGTAGTTCTTTTCGCAAATTTAGTCAACTAATCAAATAAGCAGAATATGAATCAATCAAGAAAATAATAACACAAGACACTTTTGTTAACCTGGTTTTCACCTCCGTTCCTTGATGTGAAGAAAGAGTTATACTCACCGGAGAGAGAAATCGGTCTCTCAATCTTCCTTATATGAAACACGAGAGTACAATACCCCAAGGTTACAGTTCCTATCAACCTTACAAATCACCTAGAGATACAAGTATATAGGGAAGAGCCTAGCTAGCCTAATGAGAACCTATCTTCTCTCTAGCTCCCTCTCTTCAGACCCAAACCCTGGTCTCGAACTCTCTCTCGAGCTCCCACTCTTTCGTGCTTATCCTCTATGTTTCACTTGTGCCTGCTTGTGTTAGGTCATCTGTCATGATCTCTCCATCCTAAATATCATCACGTAACTTAATGGGCTTTGTCAACTAGGCCCATAGTTCATACGCGCTTGACTTGTGCAAGTTAGCCCAACTTGAACAAGTTCGGTGATCTTGACCAAACCTCAATACAAAGGTTAACTGATTACCCAGAGTGCACCGATGTGGCTACGTCTCTGAGACCTTGCAAAGTAAAACTCTAACTCTCCTTAGTGTACGACACACGAGCCTTGCCTTGATATTAAGCAAAGTATGTTACAACTGATAACCGGTTTAATAATGTAAACCATTGAGTAATAGTTAACAAGTCGTTAACTCGAACGCAATATAACTCAACTGTAACCTTGACTTGGTTTAAGCTTCCAATATAGCTGATTTTTAAGCACCAACGTAACAATCTCCACCTTGATTATTAATCAGCTCTATTTGCAGCTATCATGTTTCTATCTCATGTACTTACCTGACTAACTCGGAACCCCTTAGTGCTTGATCACTCCGAGAACCCTCAGAGCCGCTTCAAAATTCTTGAAGCCTGAGCAAAAACCTGCTCACATTCTGCACATGCTTCTCAACCTTTTGTTATACTGCCGGCTTCAACCGAGAGGTAAATTTTTCCGAGAGTCATGGTAGTTTTCCCTGAGAATCCTACTAGCAGGCTTTGGTTCTCCACAATTTTTGGCGGACTGACTTCCATTATCTTGAGGGTGTTTCTGAAGATGATATCAGCCGAGCTTCCAGTGTCGACCAATATCCTTTCGACATCGATATTCTGGATTGATAGCTCGATGACAAGGAGATCGTAGAGAGGTTTGACCGGGTCAGTCGTTGTTATTTCCTTGAATGAGATGACATCGCTGCCTGTTTGGTTAGGCATATCGTTTCTCAGTCATTTGACAATTTTTGAGTTAGAGAATCCGACCCCCTCTTTCTAGCGACGAACTATGAGAACCGAAATTTAAACTGTCGATTTTCGTAAATTAAAGAAAGTCAAGTAAACTGGACTTTCCCAGAGGTTCCGGATTATCTGCGTAAACACTAAAAAGCGAAGGAGAAAGAGATAACAAAATATTGATGGTAAGTCGCACATAGGCATTTTATTGATTGATAAGAACAAAGCTACAAGATTTTTTGAAACACATAACAAGTAGAGTCTAGCTAACAAAGAGAATCTCAGAACAAAGATGGAGAAAAGTCTAAGTAAAAATTCGATGACCGAGCCGCCTAAATCCTAAAATATTCTAAGCTAGCCGAGTTTTTTTTTAGGTCTCAATATTCTCGTTGCGTCTTTAGCTTTGGCCTCTCTTATATACCCCCCTTGAGGCGGTTTATACCTTCTTTTTTTCCCCAAATCGAGTTTATTTCTTTCTCGAGAATTTTCCAGTTTCTCTCCATCTTCATGATTATCCTCGATAATTTTCCATTTATCTCCCGATCTTCGTTATTTATCCTTCTATCTGCAAATAAAGATAGACCATCATAAAATTTGGGCTCAATCTTGTTTAAAATTTCAAGTGCGCTTTCAGTCTATTTTTACGCCTTTTCGAACCGTTTTTCAAACTTAAATGTTTTTACGATCTTCTAAAGAATGTTTTTGACACGGCGTCTGTTTAATAAAGAGAATAAACTTCCATTTAGCCGAGGCAAATAAGGTGTTTAAGTTAATCATTGCCGTTTTATACGATCAATTTGAATTCATATGAGAGATCGTTTCGGCTCTTATCGCAAATATCCAACGGTAACTCAAATCGAGAAGATTCACTTAAGGTAAAAAAAAAGTCATAGGGGTCGATCCAACTCGCCCGATGGTGAGTTGGACTGGCCGGTCCTGCTCACCCGGTGGCGAGTTGGACGGTCCGTGTCCAACTTGCCCGATGGCAAGTTCGATGGTGCTCGTCCGATGGGGAGTTGGACGGTGCGTGTCCAACTTGCCATCGGGCGAGTTGGACTTGTCGGTCCTACTCGCCTGATGGCGAGTTGGACGGTGTGTGTTTTACTCGTCATCGAGAGCGAGTTGGACTTGTCGGTCCTACTCGCCCGATGACGATTTGGACGATTTGTGTCCAACTTGATGTTGTTCGTGTTCTGATTCTCTCGTTTTATTCTTGAGTTTGGGACTCATGACCTTTTTGAATGTATGTCGAGAAAGTATTCGCATCGAGAAGCAATCTTAGACATCGATTTCAAGAATAACCGTTTTTGACCCCAACAAAGCCTATTATGTAGACCACCTCATCGAGTTAACTAAGGAATCATTTATGGATATGTTCTCAGACCTCTCTCCAGAAGGAGAAATTATATCTCTAGAGAACGACATATATGCCCTTGATAACCGTGCTGAAGATTACACGAGGTTAATCGATGCCACAAAAGAGGTGACCCATATCGATAAGAGAATGATTTTTCAACCCCCATCGAGTGACATCCCGATAAAAACATCGATCAACGACATTCTTTAACCGCCGATTGGAGTAAAGAGAAAGCACCAAAAAATAAGCCTAATCCACTTCCATTTGGGCTTAAATATGCTTTTCTCTACGAAAATTTCTATCATGTCATCATAAATGCCAATCTAAATAGCGAAGAACAAGCTTTACTGCTGAACAAATTATGCAAATACGACAAGGCTATCGAATATTCTCTTGATGACATTCAAGAAATTGCTTTTGATCTATGAATGCATAGGATACACTTAGAAGATGAATCGAAATCGTCAATTAAACACCAGAGGAGATTAAATCCGAACCTTAAGGAAATAATAAAAAAAGAAATAATTAAACTACTGGAAGCCGGTGTTATTTATTCTATCTCCGACAGTAATTGGGTTAGTCCAGTTTAAGTCGTTTCAAAGAAATGAGGAATTACTGTGGTGAAACTTAACAAAGACGAATTGATCCCGATGAGAACCGTAACTGGACACCATATGTGTATCGATTACAGGAGACTAATCGCTGCCACACGAAAGGATCACTTTCCTTTGCCTTTTATTGATCAGATGTTACAAAGGCTCGCAAACCACCAATACTACTGTTTTCTCGATGAGTATTCTGTATTTTCCAGATTCCCATCCATCCTGAAGATAAAAAAAAAAGACCACATTTACCTGTCCTTATGGAACATTCACATACCGCAAAATGTCATTTGGATTATGTAACGCCTCTGCTACTCCAAAGATGCATGATGTCTATATTCACATACACGATCAAAGATTTCGTGGAAGTTTTTATGGATGACTTTTCTGTGTATGGTTCAGACTTCAAGACATGCCTTGACAACCTGTGTTAGGTTTTAGCCAGATGCGAGGAAAAGAATCTTGTCCTGAATTGGGAAAAATGCCATTTTATGGTTAACAGCGGAATAGTCTTGGGACACAAAGTTTCCGCAGCCGGAACTGAGGTAGATAAAACCAAAATCAAAGTAATGACAAGCCTTCCACCACCCACGAATGTGAAAGACGTTTGAAGCTTCTTAGGACATGCTGGATTTTATAGGAGGTTCTAATAGAGTTTAGCAAAATTGCTAAACTTCTGATAACACTCATGTGTAAGGAAGTGAAATTCGACTT